CCAGATAGTTATTCTTCAGAGTGGTCAGCCTCCCAGATATATTATTAGGAGAGAGAGTAGTAGCACCGTGGTCGTAGTATCTGGACTCAGACTCAGTATGTGAGTTCCAGTGCCAGTTTACCATCTTACAGCTAGCTATGGGACCTTGAACAGATTATTTAACCCCTCTGAGCCCCAATTCTCTCATCTATTAAACAGAGGTAATAATACCTCAAAGACTGAGTTAATTGTTACATGTAAAGCACTTAGGACAGTACTCGACATGCATTCATTTATTACTGTTGATGTTTTTGTTATGGTTGGTAAACCATCTAATTACAGAAAGAGCTTTCTGAGATAGAAGAAAATAACTGGGAAAGAGGCTAAAGAGCTCAAAGAGGCACCCCCATTTCAGTTGATCAACGCACAGAAGCCCGTTTATGAGCTGATGGAATCAAATTCCTACTTGGTGGATAGAAAATGAAAAAGCAGCTTCCTGACCATTTCCTTTTTCTGCAGAATGAAGTGGAGCTGGGGGAGCTGCTTCTGTCACTGAATTATCTCCCAAGTGCTGGGAGATTGAATGTTGATGTCATTCGAGCCAAGCAACTTCTTCAGACAGATGTGAGCCAAGGTTCAGGTATGGGATGGTCTTTCCTCCCTCCCCTACTCATATAGCAGGGCATCTATGTTTGTTTCACACACCCCAAAACAAACCTCCTGCTGGTGAGTCATTATTGACCCATAGCAACTCTACAGGACCAGATGGAACTGCCCCTAGTGGGTTTCCAGGGCTGTACATCTTTACAGAAGACTGCCACATCCTTGGCCCATAGAGTGGCTGGTTGGTTTGAACTGCCGACCTCTTGGTTCAAAGCCACACACTTAACCACCAAGGAGCCACCAAGCCTCCTTTTTTTGACACAAGGGACCCAATTTTCTTTTTCTGCATCCTAGATACTATTACTAAGACCCTGTGAGGACAGTAGCATCCAGAACTAGCATGCTAGTTCAGGAGGGAAAATAAATTATCAGATGTTTTGAGATGAACAGTTAACCCTGTTTGAATTGGGGAGTTGTCTGAGGTCAAGTGTGATAACTTCTTAAAATCTACATCCTTGGTTATACACATGCAGCTTCAAGCAATTAGACTAAGCAGTCTACGCAGTCTACTTCCATAGAGATACTGTCTTGGAAACCCAAGGAGGAGTTGCTATTAGTCAAAATTGACTCAATGGCAGTGAATTTGGTTGCTTTTTTTTTTTTTTTTTCCCTAATGCTACACTTGCAATAGAGACATAATGCTCTAGGTGGTGATAGTGAGCAGTAATCATTTTAATTAGCAAGAGAGGTGGGCACACCCAGAGGTTTTTTTCAGAGCTCACTTTAAGTGTACCATAAGTCGTGGTTAAACAGTTGTTATGAAATTAAAGGGTCTACATTATTGCAAACCCAACTCATACATGAATTTTTAAGAGAGAGAATAGATTCCATTCCAACTATATATAGCTTCTAGAATGCTATCACTAAACCAGCCACGGTTGCTGCAATGTCTTCAGGTCAGTGGTAGAAATCGTTTATTCCCTAAATGCACATTTCTTTTGAAGATATCCTGCATTTTCCAAAGCCACATTATGAAAACAGATTCCAAAGGGGTCAGTGGTATGAAGGTGTTAAGGCTGGAGAGTTTCAGACTCACTCTAGTGAGAGGGGCAGTATAATAAAATCATTGAGGGTTCTAAATTCACATTTCCTATAACTAAATCACAGTTCTGCTGCTTGTAAACAAGGTGGCCTTTGGAAAGTTATTTT